CTGGGCAAGAGGGAACAGTAACTGGGGTCTTGGGAATATCTTGGGGTGACCTTCTCCTCCTTCCCAAAGGGAATGTTAACAGCCCCCTTAGGCCCAGATATCTGCTGTGATTGCCATGACTTCAAGTCAAGGTCTCAGGTCACCTCAGCTGTTCTGCTGCATGATTGCAATGGGCTCACTGGTACTCAAAGAAGCGTCCGTGAAGTTGCTCATCTGGTAAAGAGGCTTGCTGAGTGACCCTGGCGACCTGAGTTGACCCTAGCCCTATCCTTGGAAACTGATGCTGCCTCTGGCTTCTGCATGCACGTGTATTTATTTATTTTGTTATTATTATTGTGCGTGTGTGTGAGAGAGAGAGTATGTGTGAGTGTGTGTGCATGCACTTGCCATAACAAGTACATGGGAGTCAGAGGACACTGTAATTCTCTTTCTACCACGTGGATTCTAGGAATCAGGCTTGGCAGCAAGCACCCTTAGCACTGAGCCATTTCACTGGTCCAGTAATAATTTTTTAAAAGCGTCAAAGAAACAGCTTACACAACAATAGTGACACTTGATCTCAATGACCAAACAGGCAAAAACGGAGAGCAGTGGCCCAGGAACATAGTTCCAGAACTCAGGGACCAAGGCAGGAAAGCCATTGCGCGTCTGAGGCCAGCTAGAGCTACGTAGTATGTTCAAGACACGCCTGGTGGGCGTAAGATAAGCTTGAGATACATGAGGCAGTGCACAGAATCAATAAAGTAGGGCTCATGGGGGCTCACAGAGACTGAAGCCTGCCTGGTCTGCACCAGCTCCCCTGAATGTGTGCTATGGTTGTGCGACTCACAACAGAGGGAGTGGAAGTGTCTCTGACTCTTTTGTCTTCCTCCTACTGGGTTGTCCTGTTCAGCCTTGATCTGAGGGTTTGTACCTAGTCTTATGGTATCATGTCATGCAGCGTTTGGCTGATATCCCTGGGAGGCCTGCTCTTTTCTGAAAGGAAATGGAGAAGACGTGGAGCTGGGGGTGGCAGGGACTGGGAGAAGTGGAGGGAGGGGAAACTGCGATCAGAATGTATTGAAAGCAAAAAGAAAAGAAAAAGCCCTGCATAAAAGACTTCTTAAAAGTCACACACAGTCACATAACCACACAGAGGGCAGTGGGTGGCACACCTAAAGCTCCCCAGGTCCCTCCTGTTCTGCTGGGTTGGCCCTAAAGGAAACAGTAGGCTTAGGTTGGGAAGGGGGGCCCCCCACTTGTCCTCTCAGTCAGACTGGTTCCGCCAGGGCCATGGATGGCACAACCTGTCTTGCTTGTGAAACCTATGTTGGGCAACTGGGCTCAAATGTGGATGCCTGAATTCCGGGGAGAGATGAGCTGGAACACCTGACTCTGGTGTCCTGAGGAAGCAGAGGGGTGGGGGGCGTGAGGGCCAGGCACATTCTCAGGGAAGGAGGAGAGGACTGGGAGCTGGATACCCAGGTTCTGGGCATGCAGGACCACCACCCCACTGGGTTTTGCTGCTGGAGAGAGCGCTCCAGTCATGGTAAATAAAATACAAGAAGCACAACGCAGTCTGGATTGCCAATAAATAATTAGACTTGGTCTTGGTATAAGTATATTCCCACACAACAACCTTGGAACCTTCTTTGTTTCTCTGAAATTCCAAGTAGAGTCAGTGTGGTGGTGCACACACATAATTCCATCCCTCATCCTTGGGCAGGGAGATCCTAAGTTCAAGGACAGCCTAGGCTTCATTTGAGATGCTATCTGAAAACACAACTGAACTTCTGGGAGCCAGTAAGATGGCTCAGCAGAGCCTGGCAGTGGCGGTGCACACCTTTAAACCCAGCACTTGGGAGGCAGAGGCAGGTGAATCTCTGTAAGTTTAAGGCCAGCTTGGTCTACAGAATGAGCTCCAGGACAGCCAGGGCTGTTACACAGAGAAACCCTGTCTTGTGAGGGATGGGGAAGGCGAGAAAAAATGTTGGCTCAGCAGACAAAGGCACTTACTTGCTGCCAAACCTAACAACCTAGGCTCAGCGGTTAAGAGCACCGACTGCTCGTTCATAGGGCCCCGGTTCAATTCTCAGTACCCACATGGTGGTTCACAGCTGTCTGTAATTTTAGCTCCAAGAAAGAATCTAGTACCCTTTTCTGGCCTCCGTGGGTAGCAGACATGCTCACGGTGCACAGACACACATATAGGCAAAATATCTGTACACAAACAGGTAGATAAATAGAAAGATAGATAGATAGATAGATAGATAGATAGATAGATAGATAGATAGAAAGATAGATAGATAGATAGATAGATAGATAGATAGATAGATAGATAGAAAGAAAGATAGATAGACAGAAAGAAAGATAGATAAATAGAAAGAAAGATAGATAGAAAGGAAGGAAGGAAGGAAGAAGGGAGGGAGGGAGGGAGGGAGAGAGAGAGAGAGAGAGAAAGCTGGGTAGTGGCAGCACACACAGATGCGCTCAGGCAGGCAGATCTCTGTGAGTTCGAGGCCAGCCTGGCCTACAGAGCAATTTCCAGGACAGCCAGGGCTACACAGAGAAACCCTGTCTTGAAAAACAAAAACAAAAATTAAAAATGAAACCAAGCACTATATATGTAACCAGTCCTCCACCTAAGGGGGACAAGGTCAAGCCCCTGCCAGCTGGGTCATGCACACTTCCCAGCTCCCCAGACTTCATGTCTTCACGCGTCTGGATATCCCCCACCCTACTTCCCACTTCAAGCCAACTCACAATTTCTGCAGCCCCAGTTTCCTCCTCTGCATGAGTGGCTGTATCTAATTGGCGGCCCCAAGGCTATGCCATTAAACCTAACACTCAGGTTGTCACCTGGGGAGCCTGTGGTCCTCAGTTATAACTTGCAGTTACTTGCAGTTCCTTCTCTGTAATATGGGAAGAGGCCATGAGGCTGCCTTAGAGGAGGGTGAGACAGGGGAAAGACCCGTGACAGGAGACACAGGCCCAGGATGAGGAGACACGAACACAGGGTCGAGGGGAGAGACACCAAGAAAGAGGATGCAAACACACACATGTCAAAACAGACCTGCAAAGATGAGGAAAAGAAGGAAGGGATGTGATGGCTCATGCTTGCAATCTGAGAACTCAGGAGGCTGAGGCGGGAGGATCGCCGTAAATTGAGGCTAGCCTAGCTACATACAGAGTAAAACCCTGCCTCAAAATAAAGAAATAACAGAAGAAAGGAAGGGAGCTAGCTGGGGATGTAGCTCAGTTAGCAGACAGCTAGCCTAGCATGGACAAGGCCCTTGGTTTGATTCCCGGCACTAGTTTGATTACCAGACTTGGTAATTTTGAGCCCATAATCTCAGTACTCGGAGGTGGAGGCAAGATGTCCAGAATCATTCTCAGGTACACAGTGAGTTGGAGGCTAGTTTGGGCTACATGCAAGCCTGTCTCAAAAAAAAAAAAAAAAAGAAAGAAAGAAAGAAAAGAAAAAAAACAAGAAAATGAAGGAAGAAAGGAAGGAGGGAGAAAGAAAGGACAGACTTAATTTAGAGCTGGACAGAGACAGAGAAATGGGGAGACAGGTACTCAAAAGTGAAGTGGGAAATGTCAGTTAAGTATGTGGGGCCACACCAAGGGACAGACATAATGCTCACTGCCATGGATCTGCGACAAAGCGAGCCAGCCATTTGGATGGTGCCAAGAGACAAAGGTTTGGGCCCTAGAATGTTGGACAGGTCTGGAGAAAGCTGTGATTGCAGGCCAGCGGGTGATCCTTGCTGTCACCTCATACCCATACACTGTGGCATGGTGACACAACCTTCTCTAGAGGTGACACCCCAATTTTCTGGTGCCTCCTATATTTTAGGGGTGACACCCATGGTAAGAACTCCACCCAACTCTAATGCCGCTTCCCCACTGAGTCACCAAAAACCCTGTCAGGCCTGTTGGGGGAAAACTTTGACGAATCAAATATCCAATTCCCATTACCCCTGAAGCCCAGTACATTGGAAACTTGGATCTAGCTCTCTAGGAACACCCAGTCTCATCAAGGGACACCAGGGTCTAGACCCTCCTTTATGTAAATTGACACACCCAGGCTCAGCTTTTCTCCCTCAAACCCACAGGTCCCAACCCCAACCCTCCTCCTCAGATCCAAGGGTCTAGACCTCAGCCCTTCTCCCTCAGTTCAGGGGTCAAGACTCCTCCCTCAGACCCATGTTCTAGACCCTAGCCTCCTCCTCAGACTCACATCCCAGACCACCCCTCAGGTTGTAACCAGGGCCAGTTACACCCTCACTTTTTCTTGTCAGTCGCCAGCCCCCTCCCTTCCCATTCCAAGTGGAGATGAGGTGCTTATTTACTTTGGTCCCCATATGAATCACTCCCTAAAACACACTGCCACCACCATGTTTCCAGGTCTTGAACAGGAAAAACAGTGTCCCTCGTTCCCCTTCAACATGACAAAATTACTAAGCAAGACGAGAAGAGGCCGCAAAGAAAAACCCATCATCCCCACTCCCCCTTACTCTGAACAGCACACCAGGCCTGCTCTTGCCTCCCTCTCCCTTCACTCATCCCACCCCCACCCCACCCCCACCTTATTGGTCCCCTAACCCTGCTCTCAACCCACAGGTCGTTCTGACCTCTCCAAAACCCTGCTTCATATTTTTGCTATTTCTCTCCAGATGTTACACTTCTGTCTCTCAATAATCTCCTCTCTCCCTTCAGTTCCTGCATCCCCCACTCTCCTCTCATCTCCATCTTCCCCTCTCTTTTGGACCACTCTGCTTCTCAAATCTTCTCCATCCCTGACTCTATCTCACCCCTACTCTGGTTTCTACCTCTGCCCCCAGGACTTCAGTCCTGAGCGATGAGACACGAAGGGAAGTGGGGTGTGGGGAATGGAAAATCCAGGCGGAAGGGAAGAGGATCAGGCAGACCGGCTAGGCTCCCTAGGTGTCTCTGTCAGAGCCCCGCCCAGGGCTATGCGGCCTGGCCCATATAAGTGGCTCCTGGCCTGACACTGAGAACTTAGTGTCTGCTGCGTGTCACCCTGTCACCTCCATCGCCACCTCCTCACGTGGGTCTGCAGGTAGGAGCACCTTCTCTCCCCCAGAGCCTCTGTTTCCAGGCAGGGCCCCTTGGCTGTTCTCCACCTACCTGGCTCTCAGCTCCGTCTCCTTGCTCATCTCTGATCGTCAGTAACTAGGAATCTTGCTCTCTCCCAAAGTCCCATCTTCCCAGTCTCACCTGTCCAGCCTGAGAAGTATTGAGTTGAATTTAGAAATTCGGGGGCCCAGCACCCAATCTCCTAATCTGTTTGGCTTGGTCCATCCGAAACAGTACACTTCTCTTCATGTCTGAGCCTATGGCCCTCTGTGAGATTGGCTTGCAGAGGCGAAGTGCTTGGCGCTTGTGGTTGTCTCTAGCAGTGTCTCCGTGGGCACCTGGCTCAGAGCTCTTTGTCTCTGCCACACCTGTCCCTGTCCCTTGCTCTCTTTGTTTCTCTCCAGCTCTGCCTCTGCTTCAAAAAGAGTCCTCTGGGGTCTGTCGGGCAGCTGTTAAGATGGGCGAGTTGCTCGCCCCACCCTTTCCATCCTAGCCAACAGGCTAACACAGCCTCTTTCTCTTCAGCTCTCTTCCCCGTGAGAGTCCAGCTCCCCCAGGGCCCTAGCCCCTTGCCCTCCCTTGCCCAGTATCCAGCGTCCCTGGGACAGACCCCGTTGCAGCTGCCGTAGCCACCCCCTGCAGCCCTTCACTCAGCAGCCACCTCCTCAGGGCCAGCGAGATGCAGTTTGAGATGCACGACAACGTGAAAGGCAAAGGTGGGATCACAGGATGGACCAACAACCTTTGGGGAGCCAGGAACCTGGCTGCCTCCCTCCCCTGGGCACCCTGGCTTCGAAGATAAATGGCACCTGTTTTTACCCCGGAGACCCCTGAAATGCTGGAGCCCGGTCGTGGAGGAGGAGGTGGTGGTGGCAAATCTAAGCAATGCCCAGCTGTGGTGCCCACTTTTCCTCCCAACCTTGAACCAGATGTATAGTTGGCAACAGCAACAGGGACAGACTAGGGGTGTTGATGACCAAATGGAAGGGGTATAGCGATGTTTCCTCAAGGGGGCAGCCAAGTGGCCTGCCCAGACTGCCCGGCAGAAGGAAGGGTGGCAAGGGTGCCAAGGCCCAGAAGGGCCTGCCAGGATGCCTGTTGATCCTCTTCTCTACCTCCACAGCCATGTCCTATCCAGTGACCAGTCAGCCTCAGTGTGCCAATACCTGCTACCAGACACAGCTCAGCGATTGGCACACGGGCCTCACCGACTGCTGCAACGACATGCCCGTCTGTGAGTGTGCCCAGGGAAGGTGGGAAGGGGCGGAAGCTCACCCCAAACTCCTCCCAACCCATTCTACACCTTTCACCTACCCCTTTGTGGGGCTCTGAATGGGCCCTTCTGCAATCTTCAGTGCCTTGGATCTCACCATCCAGCCCTCAGACTCCCTCTTCAGCAGCTGGTCCTCCCCACTGGACCCTGATTGCTTTGGGTCTTTGTTCCCTTCTTTACTCCTGTCCTCCGGGAACCCTCACCCCTCCTTGCCGTCGTGTGTGCCCTCCCTGAGAGCAAGCGCAGCAAGTCCCGACCCTGACTATCCCACCCTGTCTAGGTCTGTGCGGCACTTTCGCTCCACTGTGCCTCGCCTGCCGCATCTCTGACGACTTCGGGGAGTGCTGTTGTGCACCGTACCTGCCTGGAGGCTTGCACTCTCTGCGCACGGGCATGCGGGAGCGCTACCACATCCAGGTGCGACCCAATTCCGGACCACCGGGATTGAGGACTGGGGACCCGCCACCTGGGACCCCAGGGCAAGGTTTCTGACCCCTATCGATTTCTCTTTCCCACCCTGCAGGGCTCCGTCGGGCACGATTGGGCTACCCTCACCTTTTGCCTCCCCTGCGCCCTCTGTCAGATGGCGCGGGAACTGAAGATCCGCGAGTAAGAACGTCCTCTCCCCTCTCCCGAGTACCTGGCCACGCCTGGCCTCTCAGGAGATGGGAGGGGGCACTCCTTGGAAAGCCTGTCCCACTGCCCTTTGCCACCGCCAAAAAGTACACCCACAATAAAAACCGGAAAACCAGCCTCGCCTACATGCTTTTTATTGTCGCGGAGAAGGAATTTGGGTGCAGTGGGAGGTTGAGTGAGGTGGGATGCATGAAAGATGTCTAGGTGTATCAGAGAAGACGGGTTTGATGGGACAGGCAGCATAGATGACGCTGTTGAGGCTCCCTGTAGGCGTCTCAGAAACCATTAGCCCTCAAGCTGCAGATGGCCTATCTGAACCTCTGCCCACATCCTGAAAATAAGCAAAACAAGCAAGCTGGTCTTGGTGCCAAAGCTGGCTGTAATCCCAGCAGGATGCTGAGGCCAGAAGTTTAAGAGGCACCTGGGCAGCCTGGGATGCATGGTATGAGGCCAGCCTGAACTGCATACTGAGACCCTACCTCAAATTAAAAAAAAAAAAAGCTTTTAAAGTGAAGGTAAAACTTAAACCGGGCGGTGGTGGCGCAGGCCTTTAATCCCAGCACTGGGGAGGCAGAGGAAGGCAGATCTCTGAGTTGGAGGCCAGCCTGGTCAACAGAGTGAGTTCCAGGACAAGCTCCAAAGCTACAGAGAAAACCTGCCTCGAAAAACAAAAAACAAAACAAACAAAAAAGACTTGAACTCTTCAAACAATGTTGTCCCCTGCTTAGGATCTATAGACTCTTTTAAAAAGATTTTTAGGCCAGGCAGTGGTGGCACACACTTTTAATCCCAGAATTCATGAGGTAGAAAGCAAGCAGATCACTGAGTTCAAGCCTAGCCTGGTTTACAGAGCTAGTTCCCAGGACAGCCAGGACTACACAGAGAAACACTGCCTCAAAAAAATAACGTTTTAAATTTTATGTGTATGGGTTTTGTACCTGCACACACAATGTGTGTGATGCCAAGAGCAGAAGATGCTGAGCCCCCACAGCCTGTTCTCCCATCAGCCTCCAGACAAGATGGGCCTTTGGGGAAAACCCTGTCAAGCGTAGCCCTCACAAGCTCGCCACCTCCTTAACTCAATTCACTTTGTATGATGACATTTACTGCAAAAGAACTAATTGAACATATGGGGGGGGGGTCCAGTTTTGACCTTGCCAACCTTTCTGAGCCCATTTTCTCCTCTGAGAGCAGTTCCTAATTTGAAAAACAAAACCTCTTCTGGAAGCTGGAGAGATGATGACTCAGTGGTTAAGAGCACTGGGGGCTGTTAGGGAGTTTGGTTCACAGCACCTACAGGACAGCTCACAACTGTCTGTAATTACTTCCAGGGGATCCGACGCCCTCTTCTGGCTTACTCAGGCACCTGAACTCACATGCACACATACATACACACGAATAAGTCTTTTTTAAAAAGCCAAGTTTATATTCACATCTTAAAGGGTAAAAGCCACCAGCAACTTATAAAGGCAAAACTCATGGAGCCAATGATCCTTGAAATCCCATGTTGTTCATGAGTCACATGGGAAACTTCAATCTCTCTCAAGTCCAGCCTGCCACGTCCTTGCCTGCACTGAAGCAAGTGACTTCTGTTGGGGCGAGCATACGGGGAAGGTGTACTGCAAAGCACTTGTGGCAGAAGATCCATGCTGAGGGCAGAGAGCTCAGGTCCACACCCACCCTTACATCGAGGCTTTGGCACAGTCTGGGGCCGAGGACTAAGATGATTAAACACGATGCTTTTCAGTCTCGGTGTTGAGTATGTTTCAGAGAGTGCCCATGTGCGCCCAGTTACCACACTGTTGAGCGTGTTTCAGAGAGTGCCCATGTGCGCCCAGTTACCACACTGTTGAGTATGTTTCAGAGAGTGCCCATATGCACCCAGTTACCACACTGTTGAGTGTTTCAGAGAGTGCCCATGTGCGCC